ATTGACATCTTGATAACTGCAACTCTGCCTAGCCATGCGAGGGGTAAGGAAGACCATTTGGTCAAAAGGGCAGAAAGATGGTTTAGCATCGGAAGATAATTAGCTGCGTAAAGGTCTGATAACTTACGGGTCAGTTTAATGATATGACAGTGTGACCAAGGGAATGGTAGAATCTGCTTTAGGTGCGTCAGCTCTGAAGGGGGGAGAGAGATGTTGAGTGCTGTAGATTTAGTAGGGTTTATTATCAAACCAGAGAGCGAACCAAACGCCTCGAGAAGCCGGAGTAGAGAAGGGGTGGAAGTCAGTGGGGGGATGTGAGAAAGAGCAAGACGTCATCCGCGAAGAGACATAGCTTATGATGCATGCCTCCTATCTTAAGTCCCCTGACATCCGGGTTAGCTCTGATTAAGAGGGCCAGAGGCTCTATAGCCAGGGCAAAGAGCAGAGGGGACAGAGGGCAGCCTTGTCTCGTGCCTCTGGAGATCGGGAACCGAGCCGACCTGTGTCCCAGATACCTAATTCTGGCCGAGGGCTCTCGATATAGCGAGAAGATCCAGGTTTAGAAATGTGGGCCAAAACCCCAACGACGCAATATATAGCTGAGGTATGGCCATGAGACTGTATCAAATGCTTTCCCGGATATCTAGGGACAGGAAACAGGCGGGAATATTGCGAGACCTAGCTAAGTTAGCCAAAAGAGATGCACGTCTGATGTTATCTCCCGCTTGCCTAGTTGGGATAAAGCCCACTTGGTCGTTAAGAATTAGAGAGCCAATACAGAGGTTAAGACGTGAAGAGAGGATTTTAGCTAACAGTTTAACGTCAATGTTGAGGAGAGAGATTGGCCTGTAATTGGACCACTGCGTATCGTCGGAATTCGGCTTTGGGATCATTGAAATGTTCGCCTGTACTGTGTCATGGTTAAAAATTTGGCTAGACAGTAGAGCGTTAAAGGCATTAGTGAGGATAGGTGTAAGGAGGTGAGCAAATTTTTTGTAATAAGTAGCTGAGAAGCCATCTGGTCCTGGGCGCTTACGTAGCTTCAAATTTTTAATTGCGTCTAAGGTTTCGGCTAGGGAGATGGGTCGCTCAAGTGCCTCAAACTGGCACTCTGAAAGTTTCGGGAAGGAAATGGAGGTTAGAAGGGTATCTGCTTGCGTGGGGTCAAAGGGTGTAGAAGATGAGTAAAGCTGTGACAGGTGTTTATGGAAAATCTGTAGAATGTGTACTGGGTTACTAGTGAGGTTGCCAGAAGAAGTGCGTATCCGTATAGGTCTAGTGAGTTGGTCAAGCCTACGAAGTGAGAGGGCCAGGAATGTATTGGGTTTATTCGCCTTGGTGTAATATTTGTGTCTAGATCTACAGAGCGAGAGTTCAGCTTGATCTGTGAGAAAAAGATCTAGAACCAATCTAGAACGTTCCAGGGTCTCACGATTGGCAGGCGTAGGAGCCGCCTGGAAGGCTTGATGGGAACGATCATAGGTTTGCTCTAGTACGAGACGTTGCTGTCTTTTGCTTTTATTTAAGAAGGATGCTTTACTAATGCAGAACCCTCGCAAAACCGGTTTATGCGCTTCCCAAAGCAGGAGAGGAGAAATATCAGGTGATTGGTTAAGAGAAAAGTAGTCTTTAAGGGCTGCTTCAATTTCTAGACAGTGAGCTGGGTTTGCAAGCAGGTTATCGTTAATAATCCAAGAGGGTTCAGCGGGGGATGGGGCCAAGGAAGTCATAGCCGTAAATACAGCACAATGATCAGACCAAGGTATTGGAATAATTTCAGAAGTCAGGAGCAGGGGGGTAGAGGCGGTGGTAAGGAAAATATGATTTATCCTGGAGAATGACTGGTGGGGATGAGAATAAAAGGTATATTGGCGTTTTGCCGGGTTGAGTTCTCGCCATGTATCTATCAAGGAGTAACGGTGTAGAATGGTTTGGAAAGTTTGTTTAGAGGCAGGGGCAGAAGATGGTTGAGGGGATTTATCGAGGAAGGGATATACTACACTATTAGAGTCTCCGCAAACAATTAAAGTTCCGCGCTTATGATGGTCTATAATCGAGAGTATATGGGAAATGAATGGTAAAGGGTCTTGGTTTGGGGCATAGTATGCAACAATGGTGATATCTATGTCCAAGAGTTGCCCAACTAACAGGAGGTAACGTAACCTCTGGGTCTTTGATTTCGGTGCCTAGCGTGAAGGGTGTTGTGCGATGAAAGGCTATCAGTACCCCCCTGCGTTTGGTGGTGGCAGAGGCTGTATAGACCTGAGGATATCGGGGGCCAAAAAACTTAGGAGTGGAGTTGGGAGTGAAGTGTGTTTCCTGTAGACAAACCACGTGAGCTTTAAGCGTAGCAAAGGTTCGGAAGGCCTTATTACGTTTCTGTGGGATGTTGAGGCCCTGCACGTTCAGGGTAAGGATATTTAACGAACCCATGAGGAAAGCGCATAGTGGTTAAGATAGCCTGGTACTACTTCCCAAGGTGGAGCCTGATGGGGGATGAGGGCATTGTGGAGTGTGTCGTGCAGAGTCTTGAAGTCATGTTGGAGGGAGGGAGGAGGGGTACGATATGGGAGAGGTAACAGGAAAGAGGGGGTGTAAGAGGCCATTTAAGGCCTAAAAGATGGGTTCCCAAGGACACGCTGAGTCAGGGTGGGCAAGGGAACAATAGTAGCCCAAGCGTTATTAAATAACCAATAACACAGGGGCTAGGTAGGAGTGTGCAGGTACACGGTCCGTGAGGATGACAGCAACTTGATTGATAAAAGGTGGCGAGGTCCCAGTAGAAAACAAAAACAAAAAAAAACAGGTACATAGAGAAAATACATTTATGAAGATCACGCTATCCCTGACTCAGACGGCATTAGCAGTATCCGTAAGACATCATAGGGGAAGGGGTGTGGCGTCATATGCCGTCAGAGCCTAGGCTCCCAAACAAACTAACCCGAAGTGGGACCCTGAGGAGGGAGGGAGCTGAACAATTCCCAGGTAATGGGGTAACCAAAATTTAACAGGTAGAGAGGATATTGACGGTACTGACCACAACGACAGCAATGGCAGTCAAAGAAGTACACCGTTTGGTGTGTGTGTCCAAAATAAAGTGGAGAGAAGAAAGATAAACATGAGACACAGTTCAGTCCATGGTATCTTGTGAGGATAGACCCGGAGATGAAAAGCGGCCTCTTTTGTGGAGGTTGAGTGGGCCTGCAGTGGCACGCGTGGGGAGGGACTTCCGCGGCGAGCAGGATGTGGACCTCCGCTTGGTGCTTTCTGAAGGCGTCGCTGAGGAATGCAGTTGTAAGATCCACAGGGTGTCTAGTAGCTCTTCTGGAGTCTTACAGGTGTAATCCCGGGATTGGTAATGGAATCGCACTGCAAAGGGGAAGCTCCACCTATATGGTATAGCGTGTTGTTGAAGTGCTTGTAGGTAGGGTTTCATAGCCCTGCGCTTGGTGATTGTTGTGGGGCTCAGATCTTGAAATAACTGGTATGTATGACCTTGGAACTGTAGAGACTCTGCGTTGCGGGCGGCTTGTAGGAGTTGCTCCTTGGTGCGGAAAAAGTGGAGCTTGGCTATAATGTCACGTGGTGGACCATCCGTGCGTCGTAGTGCTAGCGCCCTGTGTACTCTATCCAATTCTAATCTTTCGATTGGGATAGCTGGGGCAAGCTCTTGGAACAGAGCTGTTACCGTTGATTGGAGATCGACGATCGTTTCCGGGAGGCCACGAATACGCAGATTTGAGCGTCGTGCCCGGTTTTCAAAGTCCTCCAGTCGTGTCAATAGTGTTGCGTTTTCATCTCGCAGAAGGTCAAGGTCATCCGTATGTCTCTGAAGCGTGACATCAAGACCATCTACTCTCTGCTCAAGGTCCGCAGTGCGTTGCCCTAGCTCACGGATTTCCCTAGATAGTGTGGCAGTGATGCGGTCCGAGGTTTGCTTCAAAGCTTTGTGTAGCATTTTTTCAAAGCGGGTCAACAGGTCAGGGGTTGTAAGGTCAGGCGTCAGGGCTTGTGCAGGGACATCTGTTTCAATGTCAGACTCACCCTCAGATGTACAGGGATGGCTGGGCTGCGGATCCTGCAGAGCTGCATAGGTACCTGTCCCTTTCTTGCTTCCATGTGCTGGGGCGGTGGCCATCTTTGTGGAGGCCTTTGCCAGGGCCTCCTTGATTGATTTAGTAGAAGGGGGGACCTGGTGCCGAGGTGCCCCCTTAACCATTCTGCTGCCTGTCAGTCGTGGGGGGGCTGTTATGGTGTTCTCAGCCCCCCTTTTCTCTCTTTCCTCTGGTTAGGTGCAGTACAGGCTGTGGTGGGCGGGCCTGTGCGGAACTCACCGCAGGGACACGTGTCCCGTCGGATTTCTCCGACCTGGTGCAGGGGATCCGCCGCAGACCAGGGCGGATCGGACCCTGGGAGGATTGCTGCTGGAGTCGGGTCCCTCTGGGGTGTATTGCGGGCCGGGACCCGCTGCTTAGCGGGGAGATGGAGCCTCAACGGGACATGTCCGTCCCGCCGGCCGCGCATGCGCACTCCCCAGTGTGGTCGTTTCTTATTAGACTTATCCACAAAACGCAATATTTCGTTTTTGAGTTATTCTACCTAACCATAGAGGTTACTATTCATCTGTGAACCATTATCAATATCATACTGAGAGATTTTGATTTTTTCCTATATGGACTTTATTATTGTTGCTTTTAGCACTGCATGTTGATTTTATATGTTTTTTTAGAAGGTTTAGGGGTTTTGCCTTTCATGCTATCTGCTTTCTCTACTCATATCCAGCGCTCGTTTTATATCTTAATTTTTAAAATTTTACTAGTTTGTTTATACAATTAGAGCTTTCTTTGGGTGATATTTATTCACCACTGGGGTTTTTATTTTTTGCTAAATTAACAAAAAAAGACCCAACATTTTGAAAAAAAACCCCATGTTTTTTCTTTGTTATAAACGTTTGAAAATAAATAATTGTTCTTCATACATTTAGGCCAAGATGTATTCTGCTAGATTTCTTTGGTGAAAATAACCCAAGCCAGTATTTATTATTTAGTCTGTAGGAAAGTTATAGAGTTCACAAACTATGGGATATTTCTGAACATTGATCAATCCTGAAGTACTGACGGCCAATCTAATTTCTTAAGGCTCAAAAATGTCAGAAGAGTACAGATATCCCCCAAATGACTCCTTTTTGCAAAGTAGACAGTCTGACATATTTCATAAGAGGCATGGCAAGTTTTTTGAAGCTGTATTTTTTTGTAATTTTTTCGGAAAATGAAGAAATGAAAAAAATTATTTTCACAATTTTTTTCTTTTACATATTGTCACCAGTGCAGTACAGAGTCATCATATAACTGGTGTGGGTATGATCAGGGACACTGACTGGTGACAGCATGAAAAAAATGATTATTTTTTTTTAATTTTTTTATTATTTATAAAAATGTTTTCTCTTTTTTTAAGATTATTTTTTCATATTACACTATGACCAAAGTAGTATAATGTTACCATAGTAACATTGTACTACTTTGGGGAAGTGATCAGTATTTTTTTTTTTACACAATTTGATTTTCTTGTAGCAAAGAATTTCTTTGCTATAAGCAAGCATTTAACTGAATGAAATCAATTCATTCAGGTTTTTTTGTATACAATGGGTGACATGAAAGGAAGCCATCCATTGTATACAACTGTCATGTGACCTGCTGTGATGGGTCACAGCAGGACACGTGGTACTGGCAATGGGGCCGGTACACAGATCTGTCATCCGCTGTGTCCGAGGTACACAGCCGGTGACAGATCTCGCCACAGCGTGGCCCTGTGGGCGCGATGCGGGAAGGATGTCATATGACTTCCTCCCGGAGGGACGAGAGGTTCGCCCGGCCATCAGTTTACTATAGGCCGGGTGGAAAGTGGTTAATCTTCCTTTCTGGACAGTTCCAGCAAGGCCCTTTCAGAAATAAATAGACTGAGCTCCTCAGGACACTGGACACTTTCTCACAACTGTCTGTACTCACAAATGTTTTCAGACGATCTGGTGATTCCTTCCAATGCCTTCCAGACACTTTCTCCCTGTGATACCAGACTAGATCCACAGATGACAGACCCCCTTATTAAGTGCCTGCAACTTCCAGCAAAACCCGCCCCCCCCCCCAGCTCACGCAGCTGGGACCACGATGATCAGAAAGCATATGGCAGGTGGTCTTGGGGGTGCCACACTGTCTCGAACACAGCAGTCGAGCAGGCATTTATAGCAGTCAGGTACTCCATCCGTCTCACATCAGCAATAATTTTAAACAGCATTGACATCGAAGGAGGTATAGCGGATAGCCAACACATAGGAATGCTTCTTCTGGCCGCAGTCAGAATATGTGTGGAGAGTTTCCTGGCCATTCTGTGAAGACCTGGGAATGGCAGGCTCAGTAAAAAATATAGAAGCTCAAAAGGGAGAGAGGTATGCAATAACAATTGTAAAAAAGACAAAACCTCTTCCCAAAAAGGGACAATAGGTCCACAGGTCCAAAAAATATAAAAGAGGGAGCCAAAATCTTTCCCACAACGCCAGCAAGCGGAAGAAGCATTCGGATTAAAGGCATGGATAACCTCGGGAGTTTTGTACCATAACATAAAAATTTTGTATGTGTTTTCTTTAAAAATCACACAGACAGAAGATTTAGATGTGTTATCCCAAATTTTCTTCCATTGCGTCAGGTCAATGTCACATTTCAAAAATTGGGACCACTTGTGCATTTAATGATGAGTGTCATTAGAGAGGGGGGTAGCATCCATAAGAAGTTTGTATATATTAGAAATTATGCCCTTTTGATGTGGACCTTGTATACATAGACACTCAAAGGGAGTAGGTTTCCCAAGAGTCAATGTGGGGGACATGGTGGAGAAAAAGTGACGTATCTGGAGGTATATATATAAATGCTGGGAAGGCAGATCTTTTTTTTCTGGAGATATGAGAATGGTTGAAGCTTCCGAGTAACAGGATGTACTAGGTGGCGCAGTTGGAAGAGTTTGGCCATGACCCAAGGGGACATCCGGGGCACCGCCAAACTATCTGGAAGGTTGGGGTTAAAAAGGATATTAGTTAGTCGGGAGTAATCGGAGGTTAGTGCAAACCTAGTTCTACCTTTCTGCCATATACTCATAGAGAATTGCATGGGGCCAAGGAACAGACAATGAATAGGGGTAAGGTCCACCACCGAAGATGACCAGAGGAGAGAGCAGGGATGAGTCGGGGTCAATTGTAAGGACTCTATCTCAGTCCACAGATTGGGAGGGGATTGAGTGGACCATGATGTAAGGAAGCGGAGGTGAGTAGCATAGTAATAGGTCACGATATCCCTAGGCCTCCTCTAGAACGCAGAGAGAGTAGTACACTACGTGCGAGTCTATGTTGCTTATTATGCCAAATGAAATGTAAAAGGGATTTCTGAAGGGAGTGTAGCTTGGACATAGGAACAGGAACAGGGAGGGTCACAAATAAATACAAAAGTTTGGGTAGTACAGTCATCTTTATGACGTTGATACGTCCTAGGAATGATAAGGGTATCCCAAAATTTCAGGGAGCGGGAAACAGCTATGAATGGGGGGGGGGGGGGGAGTTGGCGTCATATATTGAACTATAGGAGGAAGTAAGGTTAGTACCCAGATATTTTAGAGAACGGGCGCACCATTGATACGGAAATGATTCTTGAAAGGACGAGAGGACAGCTGGTGGGATATGGAGTGGGAGTGCTTCAGTCTTGGAGGTGTTAACCCTGTAACCCGAGAGAGTCCCGAACTGTCGTAAAAGTTTATGCAATGTTGGGAGGGAAATTTGGGGATTCGAGAGTGTAAGGAGCATATCATCCGCAAAAAGGGACAATTTGTATTCACGGCTATGAGACATTATGCCTTGTATGTCGGGATGGGACCGGATTGCAATAGCCAGTGGTTCCAAACAGAGAATAAACAACAGAGGAGAGAGAGGGCATCCCTGTCGTGTACCATTCAACATCTGGAAAGGGGTGAGAGAAAAGAGGCCATTCTGACCTGTGACGAAGGATGGAAGTAGAGAGCTTTTAAAGCTGCCACGAAAGGGCCACGGAAGCCAAATTTCTCCAAGACCATGAACATATAAGGCCAGCTGAGACGATCAGCTTGGATGCTGATGCCGAGATGAGCTTGGATGCTTTTTGGGCATCCAAGCTCAATAAAATGGTGGGAATGGAAAACCGGTTAACTAAGTCAACCAGATAAATAGATCTGGTATTATCCGCTGCATGTCTGGCAGGGACAAAACCTACTTGGTCTCTGTGTATGAGCTGAGTTTTGACAGCCTGTTGGCTAGGATCTTACTAAAAATCTTGTAATCAGAATTCAGTAGAGCAATAGGACAGTAATTATCTAAGATAGAATGGTCCTTGTCAGGTTTGGGAATTACAGAGATGTCTGCACGGGAAAAGTCAGCTTGGGGAGTAATACCTCTGAAAAAATCATGATAGAGAGAAAGAAGGTGGGGAGCCAGGATACCAATGAAAGTCTTGTAATAAGAGTAGGGAAGTTCGTCTGGTCCCGGGTTTTGTGTGAGGGGAGATGTTTGAATGTATCAAATATTTTTGCAGATGAGATGTCAACATTGAGGGCCGCAATGTCAGAAGACGAAAGCTTCAGCAACAATAGAGGGTCGAAAAAACCTATCAAAAGAAGTCTCTGTGAGAGGAGGATGGAGGCCTGGGGTCAAGCACTTGTAAAGGGATTCATAATGTGAGCAAAAAAGGGAGACTATTACATGAGGATTAGAGATGAGCGAATTATTCAAAAATTCGATTCGGCTGATTCGCCGAATTTGAGGAAGAAATTCGATTCAATGCGAATTTATTCGCTACGAATTTAACTTATAAAAAGGGTTTCTAGGCTTCAGAGAGCCTTTAAATTAGTGCAGAACACTGTACCTGTCATGGAACCATCGCGACGCATGGGTCTACACATGCGTAGGTGTCTGCCGAGACGTATAGGTGGCAGGGCACTAGGACCCAGGCGTACCTGTCGTCTGGACAGTACTAGACAGGCACTAGGACCCAGGCTACGCCTGTCAGGTGCAGGGCGGCCTATTTAAGCTAGCCCTGCACAGACACTTGTTGCCGAATGGTCTTTGTATCCTGTTACCTGTGTGTGAGTACTTCTGACCTGGATTGTTTTGACCTTGTTGCCTTCTCCCGTCCTGACCCCTTGGCTTGCCTGACTCTGCTCCCGGATGTTCCCGTTTAGATCTGACCTCCTGGTATTGACCCTGCGTGTGACCCGACTATCCTTTGCCTACCGTTTTGTACCTTACCGATCCTCTAGTTATCGTCCTGGCCTGCATGACTCTGATTTAGCTCATCCATCCATCCACCCCGCAGGGATCACTAGGCTCCCTTACATCAGACTCCTAGCTCAGAAGGAGAAGGATGAGAAGAAGGAGAAGGATGAGAAGAAGGAGAAGGATGAGAAGAAGGAGAAGGAGAAGGATGAAGAAGAAGAGAAGGATGAGAAGAAGAGAGGAGAAAGGATGAGAAGAAGGAGAAAAGAAGGATGAGAAGAAGGAGAAGGATGAGAAGATGAAGAGAGAAGAAGAGAAGGATGAGAAGAAGGAGAAGGATGAGAAGAAGGAGAAGGATGAGAAGAAGATGAGAAGAAGGAGAAGGATGAGAAGAAGGAGAAGGATGAAGAAGGAGAAGAAGAGAAGATGAGAAGAAGGAGAAGGATGAGAAGAAGAAGGAAGGATGAGAAGAAGAAGAAGGATGAGAAGATGAGAAGAAGAAGAAGAAGATGAGAAGAAGAAGAAGGATGAGAAGAAGAAGAAGGATGAAGAAGAAGGATGAGAAGAAGAAGATGAGAGAAGAAGAAGATGAGAAGGATGAGAAAGGAGAAGAAGGAATTCCAAGCCGGCAAAAAGTGTATCTGCAGAGCTCCGCTATTTCTTAGCGGAGCTCTGCAGATACACTTAGAGGAGCTCTGCAGATACACTTTTTGCCGGCTTGGAATTCTTCTTATTTTCATCCTACTTCTTCTTCTTCTTCTTCATCCTCATCCTCATCCTCTTCTTCTTCTTCTTCTGAGGATGAGGATGAAGAAGAAGAAGAAGAAGAAGAAGAAGGAAGGAAAAATAAGAAGAATTCCAAACCGGCAAAAAGTGTATCTGCAGAGCTCCGCTAAGTGTATCTGCAGAGCTCCTCTATTTCTGACAGTTCTCTGACATTCACATTTACAGCGGTTGAAACATTGTATCTATTTGTTTCCATAAATGGAAACAAATAGATACAATGTTTCAACCGCTGAGCTCTGCAGAAGACTTAGCGG